GAATTCTGATAAACTTGCGTGCGACATGCCCATAAGGCAAATTGATAATTTGACTGTCACCGACCAAAGACGGGATTGAATCCCCATTCTCTTTTTGGAAAGAATCCAGGGTGATGTGTGTGGACTTATAGATCCACCATGTAGGTCATTTAAATATTTAATGGTGCTCATTGATGCATCAACGAGATGATCACATGTATGCTTACTATCTACTCGTAATGTAGTATTTGCAAGGTTACTTGTACAAATAATTAAATTGTGAGCACAATTCGCTAATTATTCAATAAAGAAAAATTGTCTAAACAATCCTATTGAATATTCATCAAAAGCATTTGACGATGATTGCATAACTTTGAGAATTACTGTTGAGCATCACGTTTTGTATGTTCAAACACAAAATGGTCTGGCAAACATCTATGCGAATTAGATTGACAAGTTATCATTATTGATGTAATCCAAACTTTTCGTTTCTGTTTGGGGATATACAATATTACATACAGCAACACCTGAGCGAATTAGATTGACAAGTTATCATTATTGATGAAATCCAAACTTTTCGTTTCTTTTTGGGGATATACAATATTACATACAGCAACACCTGTGCGAATTAGATTGACAAGTTATCATAAGTACTTCCCAACACAATTAATATTTCTACAAGAACCCAATATTTCTCACCTGAGGATTTTTTGATGCACGGTTTATGTGTTAATTGCATCACCCCAGCGTACAAAAATGGGCCATAATATTGTTTAGGAATTTATGTCGAGTACGAATCACCGTTGATAATTAAATAACTCAGAATTACTAACAGATATCTATTTACTGTGCGATTCAAAGATTGTCATTTTGAAGAAACAAATTTTCTGACATTAGGGGGAGAACAGAATCAACTGAAAAAGAAAGTTTCTTAGAAAATACCTACGAATTTCATGGATACTCGTTCACAACAGTGTGTTAGAAGTACAAAGAATTGTATACTTACAACATATTATAAATCAGTTACCAGATACATTAAATAACTCCAATAGAGTCACCAAGTTGTATATTCCTGCAGCAAATGCATCGGAAAAAATAAATATCCCGAAAAGACAAATGGAAAGTGCCAATGAATCTTCTGCGTGCCTGAAGCTTGACAAACTTGTGAGGTCCAAGGATAAAAATCCCCAAAAGAAAAAGATATTGATTAATGATTCAATCTCTCAAATACTTTATAGTGATAAAAAACAAATCCTTAAAGAGGATGCTCTGGAAGAGTCCACCTCAGAAAAAAATAAAGTTATTGAAAATTCAATTAACTTTACTGCTATAAAGAATATTTTGAACCGAAAGAAAACAATCATTGATAATATTTTCACATATAACATGACACTCGATATAATGGAAGACGACGAGGATCCTGAACCAACATCAATTGATGAATATCGAAAAAAAACGATTGGCCAAAATAGAAAGATGTGATCCACTATGTATTAGACTCAATGGCAAAAAGAAATGTATTTGGATGTATAAATCCAACGCCATAAGGTATTAAGCTAGTTAGGCTGGGTACTAGTGAGGAAAACAAATAAAGACAATGATACAAAACGATGTTTGTAGCTCAAAAATTCTCACAAAGACCTAAAATTGATTATAATGAAACATATTCTGTAGTAATGGATGATATCATATTTAGATACTTTGTAAGCCTAACAATGCATTAAAAACTTGACATGCGCCTTATGAACGTAATCACTACTTATTATATGGCCTACTGGAAAATAATATTTATATGAAAATTGACATGACTGAAGCATGCAAATCAAATTCGAGAGAATATTATTTCCATTTTGCTTATAAATAGACTTGTATTCAATACAAAGAATGAGTGAGAAAATTTACTTCATATCCACCTCTCTCCCGGCTCTCCCTTTCTCTCTCTCTGTTATATTTAAACTTCTCATACATATATAATATTATATAACCTACGTTATATAAATATAGATCCATACAAAGAAATATATATTACCCGTATATACATACTCATACATATATATTATATTTATATATATATACACAAAATAATAATTAATAGTAAAGACAATTAATATTTTTATTTATTATTCTAATATTAATAGTTATAACACAATTAAGTAATTTATATTTTAAAATTTAATTTAAGAATAATATATAAAATAAAAATAAAATTATAATTCAATATTAAATTATTTTTCTTTTAATAATTTATCATAAAATTCCATAAAGTGTATTTAATAATTTTAAGTTTTTAGTATAATTAAAAATTTATATTTTAAATTTTGGGTATTTGGATTTAAAGTCCATTTGAGCTAAAATACATTTAAATTCAATCCTTCTTCATTTTGACAGTGCACTGCATTCTCTATTTCTCATTTTCATTTATGCTTGACTCTCTAATACATTTTTTACCATTGAAATCACTATGTAATGTAACAAATATTGTATGTACTCTCGTTATCTTTATATAATCTTACATTATTTAATTACATACTACAAAATGATTCCGCTGTACAAAGAAAATGCCAAGTTATGTGCCTGAAATTTTTATTTATGTATTGAAATCAATGAAAAAAATTTAAACAAACAAAACCTAATAAAACCCATAATCCAAAGTTGTGGCTTGGTTATTTCTTTGAAACTCGTCCCTTTTCACGCTGCCCCTCTCCGTTGAAACCTCAGCCGAAGTAATTGCGGTCGAGACTCCTTACAGAAACTCTTGCTGCTGTCGAAAGTCTTCACTCACTGGCTAGTGCTCCGATCTTGCTCGATATGTAAAAAAACAAAACCTCCACCCCAAGTTCGAAAAAGTAAGTTAAATTTTATGTTTTTGGTAGAATCGTGTTTTTGAGTTCATGATGTGCTTGGATCTATTTTATTTATGCCTCTGTTGGGTTTGTACAAGCTTCGATAATGGGTCATTTTACTTTGACATAGTATTGCACCATTGGGTCGAATATGAGTTATTTTGATGTGTTTAAAATTATAAATGATCTTGTTGTCTTCGGAAATATCTTCATTTGCATTTTTCAAATTTTATATTTATAGTAAAATGATTAGAATGTAAAGCGGCGGTGCTTCTTGTTTTCTTCAAATACCATAAATAAATTATTCCTTGTTGGGTGATTTTGTAAGTACTAAGGTGTTGAATAATGTTTCTGTCATAGGATTGGTTATAGAAGTATCTTATTTTTTTCGATTAGTAAAAATTTTGTTTGTTTTAAATATTATTTGCGAGTGTCTTTCATTTCCTTTGGTGTGTCTTGATTGTTAATTTATATGCCTCAAATAGAAAATTACTTATATTTGTAGTTATTCCATAAACCTGTGTTTATATTGGATATACTTATGAAGACATGTTTTTGTGTTGAAATAATGGCATGCCTGAAAAAAAAAAAAATGTCTTACCTCCAGATTCTCTATACTTTTTTTCTATACAATATGACTAAACTTAAGAGACCGTAAATGCCAAGGAGAGAGTCTCGATTGCGGGCCAATTGTATACATGTATGCTGAGAGCTACGGTTTAGACAATAAAGACCGTTACCCAACGGGTGGCTAAGCGTCCAAATTTGATGATGTCAAGGCTTGTAGAGCTAAAATTGCTGCAAAAATTTTAGCAAGGGGCACAGAGGGTCTGTCTAGTCCAATTTGAATGTTTGGGATGTAATTTGTTACAGTCAGATTGATGAATAACTTAGATTTTTGGTCAAGTAGGGGTATTTAGCCGTTGATGTAATATTTTGATGTAGACTTTGTTGATCACCAACTATTTTAAACTAACGTATGATATTTTTAGAGGCTGTCTACATGTACTTGCATTATGGTCATGTATATGTCTGTATATATGATAGGTGTTGAGATATTTTAGATTTCGTAAATTTATATTTAGATTTGGATTTATCCATAGATTAAGATTACTTAGATTTGCATTTATCGAGTCTTTTTTGTATTCCCTATATATAAGCCCCTTATTTTAATGATCAATAAGCCAATTTCATTATTTTCCCACAAAATTCTAACATGGTATCAGAGCCTATTTTTCTCATGTCGTTTATATAGCCTACCAACCCGTGTTTCTCCGGGTACATTCAACCTTGATTGTACCCGGAGGTTTTGTGATTTTTAGATCATGCTATCTGCCATCTATCCGTTGCATGCGTGCAATCTGAAATCTAGATGTTATATGTCATATGTCCGCTGTCTTTCTGTTGCCTGCGTGCGATCTGAAATATATTTGCTATCTGTCTGTTGCCTGCTTACGATCTGAAACATGTCTGTGATCTGTTGTATGTCTTGGATCTGTCATCTGTCCGTTGCTTGTCTGTTGCTTGTGTGTGATCTGAAACCTGTCTGCGATCTGTCATCTGTGCGTTGCTTGTCTGTTTTGTATTGGCATATATATAGACCTTTTATTTTGATAATCAATACCTTTGTATGTTAATTGTACACCCAAATCCCTATATACATCATATGTTTATATAGGGATTTCAAGTTTCAATGGATCTCTAATGTAAGTCCAATCTATCTTTACCAAACAGTTTTACCGTGCATATGAGTCATACTATAAAATATGTATAAATAATGAAATAATGAAATATTTTAAGATTTTTTTAATTTTATTTTTTAAATTCATATCTTTAGTTTTGATATATTTAATGTAAATAGCTATTAAAGATAATATCCTTTATAGAATTGATTTTGCATGTTCTGTAAAAATGACATTAGATCCAAAGTTATTTGAAAAAAGAAAAGAAAAACAAATGAACACACTTTCAGAATTTATATATATTTTTACGGTGAACATCAATCTTTGTTGCAAGCATGATCATATGTATGGATTAGCTCAGGAATTGTTTTGTTTTAATATAACACAACACTATAAATCTCTAAATAAACTTTAATTTTGATACCAAAATGAAATTAATTAATTTTATTTGGTCTGGTAGATGGAAATTATTTACATATGTAGAATTAAGAATAAGTTGACAGGCAGACAAATTAAAGCGATTACTATTAGAACTTATCGACAGTTACTCCATCTCTCACAAACTCATAGGCACTTCTGTCTCGTGATCTTGTTATACCAACATAAAAGTTGAGCTTGCCTTCTTCAGAAGAAATAATGCTTACCTTGAGCCATATGATAAACTTAGTCTTTATTCCATCTATATCAGATAGCTTCCCTTTCTCCAAATTTCCGGTTACCGTAGTTGCGAAGCGCATTACAGATTGATCCCTGTATGTTACTTCGCAGGCCGATGGAATGTGGACAAGAAGCTTCTTTGTCTCCTCATTGAATTCATAATCCGTGGCCTCCCGAGGAAATAAACCTACTGGGAAGTCATGCTCCTTGAGGAGTTCTGTTAATGGCTTCTGCGCTTTTCCTAACCATAAAAACACACACACAATTGTTAGATAAACAAATAAAATGAAAAAAGGAATTCCAAAAAATCTATCACAAAACAAGCAACATATTTATATTCAAAGCTTATTGATGAAAGGACGACCATTAGCAATTGATGAAAGGACGACCATTAGCAGGGCCGTCTCGGATTTTTTTTAGGCCATGAACGAAAATAAATTATAGATCCTACAAATACATGATTAAAATGTATTTTTAATAATATTATTAATTGGCGTTGATTGGACAAAAGGTTGAACGTGACCGTCTGGACAATGTGAATTTGAGAAAAAAAATATGAAAGACTGTCTGTCTTAAAGTTCGAAAAGCAAGAAGGACCGAAGGAGAGTGAAAGATATAAGAGAACATGTGAGGCAGATTTGATGGAGTTGCTGGGGCAATGCCATAGGGTGTAAGCTAAAGAAGTGTAGACTATTAGAAAAAAATAAATATATATATATAATTAGAAATTAAAATTTAATTTTAAAATTAAATAGGATAATTATGAAAAAAAATATATAAATTAAAAGTTAAAATTTAATTTTAAAATTTAATAATAATAATAGATAATATTTAAAATATAGGCCTTCTATTAATTAGGGTCCTGAGCAGTTCTTCACCCTGCTCCTCCTATGAGCGCCATTAGTAGCAAGTGATTGCATGCCATGCCAAGTCAAGTTTTCAAGAAACATTAGGCTAAACATTGAAAGAGGAAAGAATAACAGTCAAAATACTACTTTGTTGGAACAAGAAATGTTCTCACTCACATAAAACTCTAAAATGTCTTGTATCAACTAATAACTTTTATTCCACATATTAAAACTCCACCTTATTATGTTCAATGCTTTCCAGAATAAAGTCACAAAGTATTAATATGCTTACTTTGATCATTAGAAAAAACATGGCGTGGAATGAATGCTGTCTAGTTTCCAAAATAAAGTATAATGAACGTTTTGGACACTTTTTTTTGTATAAATTTTTTAGAAAAATATAGATTCTTAAGTTAATTTTTTACTCAATTTTTAGAATCACATTAGTCTTATATCACTCACTCTAAACTCTTAGGCTATAAACCTTTTGAATTCTTCACTCATCTTATGATTGCTTCAATATATATATATATATATATATATATATATGTATATGACCATCAATGTAGACATAAAAACAAACAACAAATGTCCATTTACTCTACCTCTCCAAAAATTTGATGATCACTTTGGGCACCTAGAAAATAAATTATCTTTCAAGTACTTCTCCAAGAAACTATTCAATACTCCAGGAGTTTGTTTGAATCCATAAATTGTTCATTTCACTTTTTGAGACTTTATTTCCATAAATTGAACAGCAATACCAAGTGGATGCTTATAAATATTTTGATTCTCTTCTTTATCCTTAGACTATGAACCCTATTATAGTTTCATCAAAGTCTATTGGAATTCTTATTTGAGAGAATCTGAAAAATAAAATATTGAACAAAATTTTTCATTCTTAGAAATTAAATATTACCTTCGCTCGGCTCTAAGGGTCTCATTATTTTTTGGGTGTTCGATCTTTGAATATTAATTCTTATATCAAAATGCAATACAAATTATTGAAAAATGACAAAAATACTAATACTAGTGTCTTGTAATATTGCTATTATGACATTTTTGCAAAAAAAAATTATATAAATATAAGAATATTTTTAAGATTAAGTAAAATGACGCAAAAAGTAATTGAGACCCCTTAGAGCCGGAGAGTAGCCAAGAATAAAACTTTGGCTTGCATAGATTATTTTTTCAAAATTGAATTCTTGTGAATAAAAAATAGATTGGTTGAGTGGTAAATTGTAATTATCCCGCATGCACACATGTATGTCGGACCAAGCCACATTGTATTGACCATGCTTATATATATCCATGAATCATTAGCATAAGTCATTAGGTACATAGCATAATCATTTATCTATTAATGTAGTTCAATTTCAGTGTCTAGTTATCGTTTTCTTAGAAAAACTAAGAAATATATTTCTTATGTAATTATTAACCAAACACACATTCCCATTTTATTCTTAAATTAATTTATATTATTTGTATCCAAATTATTCTCACCCACCCACCCTACTTTGGATTAATTATATTTTCATCCAAACAGGTTGCTTTGTTTTTTTTTCAAAAACATTAATATACTACACACATTTATTATTTTTATATTATTTACACAATTCTCTATCTCTCGCGTCAAAAAAAATTCTTAAAAAACCGAAACACAAAACAATATCCACCCAAACCTAAACATCCAACTCAATCACCGATATTTTATATTACACCTAACCAAATGCATATATACAATCTTATTCTTGGCCTAACCAAATGTGTATATATAATCTTATTCTTCTTACAATATATATTCACTAAAGCATTTTATGCTGTAAAATTCAATTTCTCCTTGTTCATCTTCAACTTTATATAATTTTTTTTTTTTTTTTTTTTTTTTTTTTTTTTTTTTTTTTCACGTTACAGCAAATACTCTCTTTATTGTATATATCTAACAATAACATATATATACGCCTACCATATTCAACATCAAGCCCTTATCCATAAAAATAAAAATAAAAATAAAAGATTATGCCAACAATTTAAGATAAATTATTAGCAACTAATTTGTACAGATGGGTGATTTTAAAAAATAATATAAATTAATTCAAAAAATGAATGAGAATGATATATATGAATGAAAATCACATATTCGTTTAAATTATGAAGAAAATAATAATTAAAAATTAAAATTGAACTAATTCGAAGATCGAAACTGCTGTTTTAAAAATAGAGAAGGCATACGAGTAAATAAATTTTAAAAAACAAAGAAGCATAAAAATATACACCTCTATCCCATTTAATTTGTCTACTATTTTTATTTCCGTCTTTCTATGTAATTTGTTATTTCATTTTTTGGAAATATAATTATACACTTTAATCACATTTTAAAATTCATAATTTATAATTTTTTTATTTTAATTAAACTATTTATTCATCTTAATTTAATCTAAAATTATTTTAAAATTATTTTTATTAAATTTTATTTTTACTAATACATTTTTTAATTATTTATTAATTATACAATACCTAAAATTTCATACCTAATCTAAATTGGACAAATTAACTATAACAAATGAAGTACTTCTCAACTAGTTTATGCATAAAATATTAAACTTCATATAAAATGCCCAGTTTCATTATTATAGTTGGTGAGTTGGGTCTACTAAAAATAAATATTGCTTTATTTATTGCCATCATTTGGCTAGTTTTTAGGGTACCTGGTAATTATAAATTTATATTTTCTCCATTCTATATAAATTATTCGTATTTTTTATTTTCGTCTTTACAGTATAATTTGTTTTTTCATTTTTTAAATATAATTATACATTTCAATCATATTTCAAAATTCATAATTTATAATTTTTTTAATCTTAATTATATTATTTAGATATCTTAATTTTAATTTATAATTATTTTTTATTATATCATAATTATTTTTACTAATACACTTCTTAATTACTTATTAATTATATGTTACCTAAATTTTTGTTTCTAGAATAACGCAGATAATTTAGCTGGGACGAAGGGAGTATTATTTTTTTAAGCACATAGCTACCACCAACATAGAAAGGTCCATGAGCTCATTCATGCGCGAACATTAAACAACAACATATAAAAATAATAATATTTTCTCCGTCTCACATAATTTGTCCCTATTTTTTATTTTTATCCATTCTACATAATTTGTCATTTCTATTTTTGGAAATATAATTATGCACTTTAATCACATTTTAAATTTTAAATTTTATAATTTTCTCAATTTTAATTAAATTATTTACTTATCTTAATCTTAATCTATAATTATTTTTACTAAATAATAATTATTTTTACTATTACCTTTCTTAATTACCTACTAATTATATTTTACCTAAATTTTCGTATCTACAATAATAAATCCAAAATATGTGGGACGAAGGGAGTAATAAATATAGAATAAAAGAAAATTGTCATATACTCTAACCCTATAAGTAAGTGATATATGTTGTACTGGATAAATATTTTGTTATATTTTGGGCGGTTTTTTGATGTAAATTTCGTATGTATACTCTTAATGGTGTGTTTTTTGGTTGTTCACTAGGCATTGCGGAGTTGAAAAATTTTGGACATATTTGAAAGAAAAAGCAGAAAGCACGAAGACCTTAGGTGTGAACACGCAACACAATGTGAGAAATATAAAAATTTACAAAAAGGCTATGCGAGGTAAATTGACAATATAAAGATTATTTGGTATTTAATTGCAAAAGGGATCTTGACTTGAGAAATTAATAAAAAAGTGGTGGGCAATTGAAGAAAGCAGAGAAACGCACAACTACGTAAGAAACCCACGACACCAATCTTTGAAATGAGAAGAAGAGAACACAAAGGAAAAAGAAGCAAAGATTTCAGAGGCGCAACGTAGACAGAACTTCTGGGCATTTTATTTCTTCATTCTTAGAATTGGTTTGTTGTCGATTCTTAAAATTGAAGGCATAATGAACTCCTTGAATTGTTTTATGTTTTCAATTTCTATGGATTGCGAGTAATTTTATTTCTAGCGTAGGTATAAATTGATGTTTGGGATTGAATATGTGAGATTTATTTTTGGTTGAATTTGGCGTTCATCGATGTTGGGTATTTAATTCTTCTAATTTTCTAGTTTAGAAATCTTAAATTGATTATTGCACACATATTGATTTGAAATTTTACAGCTATATTGGAGATTGGCATATGTAATTGTGTAATCTTCCAATTGTTGTAGCAACCTAGAGGAATAATACTCTAGGAAAGAATTAAAATCAATTTTGAAAAAATCCGCATAGCAAAATGCTAACTGTCGTACCTTAGCTATCGAAAAATTAAGAAAAGGTTGGTTGTGAACGCGTGTAGATCAACTATAACCAATTTATCCAACTAGTCAATGAAC